CTGCCACTATGACCGGCGGCCGCCTCGGTCTCTCCTCCTCTTGCCTCCCCTTTCCATACCGATGGCCAGTCCAGCTATGTTTGGAGGTCATTCCAGCTGCCATGTTGATCCCTTCTGTTCCATAGATGATGTTTAGCTGCGTCAAAATGCTGGAGACTTTGGTTTTTCTGGAATGTTGCTGATTTTTTTTCCATGTTGTCCCGTCTTGAAATGTACTTCATCAGTACATGTCGTCCTCCCTCCTTTTTTCTGAAAAAGGACAGACTTCATAACACCACTAAAATAATTCAGCATATTCAGGAGAGGCAAGAGCTGCAGCTTGAGCTGGGGCTTTTTTGGTGGTTGTGAAGGAATCTTCATCGTATAGGCTATACAGTACATAAAACCAACCCCATCTGATTTCAATGCCACCCTAGAAAATGTATCTAGATCTGCCCCTGGTTTGCTATACAATGTAGCAATGAGCTGATACAACCTTGAGTTCTGGCATTCCAACTTTGCTACCCACCTAAACATTGTTGCAGACCAAAGTGTTCACACTTCTAGTTGAGGTTGTGGCTTCACTCACCAAACAACTACTCACACCAGCTCTCAAGTGGGTGATCTTTGAACACCCGTTTGTTTGCTGTTAAGGTTTAATGTTAGGGGGAATACCTGCTTTCATTGCAAGGGATAAAGCAGTGCTAAATGGAGTCACTGAATTGAATCTCACCACAGCATTGGTGCTGCTTTTGATAAATATATAATGGCTTCCTGTGTGGTACATAGCATCTAAGAAGTACGTCCAGTATTACAGCACGAATTAGCAGTTATCATATCCACTTATAGTTTATGGATGGAGCTTGATAACCAAACCTCCTAGGCTCAGATGCCACCACAATGATACCACCCATAGGTGAGTGAAGTCCTGTTGTGAAGTCTTAAGGTAACATTTTTGATCCTGACATCTTGAGCTTTTGGAAGGCTGTGAAACCACAAGCTCATTGACTAACAACTTGATTGGCTAGTTGTTAGACTGGACAATCCTACTTTTTCACACCTGTGATGACCATAATTTGCTAATGAGAAGCTCAATATGACCTGAAACTGGAGACTAACACATGGAAATCATTACAAGGGTATTTACTGAGGTAACAGAGAGGGAGCTGAGGGCAGTTTTCCTGCAACTATAAGGGTCCCTGCTGGTCATTAAATAGAATGCAGGTTTAAGGCACTTCTGTATTGGCTTCATCCATCTTTTGTGCTATATATGGCAGTGATGAGTGAAAATCTAAGCCCGAGGCTTCAACATGCAGACTCCACATATCAAAGGACTGTTGTTAGAGTGTGATGGAAACTCACCACCACGGGACCACTGATCGTGGTTCCACGTCCATACCCAGACTGATTAAAGTGTTTCTAAAGGCACAAAGACCTAGATAATGCTAGTCAGATGGTTTTAATATTGTGGTAGGTCTTAAAGCTTTGTCTCTAGAATTCAAATTTGGCTGCAAACAGACATTTCCAAAACGTATATTTTGTTATGAACTTCACTTTGTTTATTTTTTTTATTCCACACTCAAAGGAACGAACAAATAGTCAGTGAGCCACAATTTAAAACACAGACACATTTTATGAATAAAAACCAGACTGGGTTTTTGTTAAAATTGTTACATGGCAGACAAAATTCAGAAAATATGAAATAAATAAAAGTGAAACAAACAATCAGACAAAATGTTTTGTCGGCTTCCAGACGTTTCTCCACAGTCTCAGTTAACAATATTCACATTTGACATCAATACTGTTGATAAATGAACACAAAGTAAGTTAATAGGTGACATTATCAATACGTCTAAATGAGTGTACAAGTGTGCATGTCCACAAACGCATGCAGGTGTTTACAGGTTAACTGGCAAAATGATCAATCAATTTAAAAAAAACTTTTTTTTTTTAGTTTTGTGTTGACCTGCAGGTCACATAAATGCTATATAAACCAAGGTTATGGGGGTGGAAACGTCTGCAATATCATCAGTAGGGTAATATGTGATTAAAGCTAACTCTTGTTTCTACTTTTAAGATCAATTGACGTGACAAAGATACAAAAACGACAAAGAAACAGAAGTTGTGAGTAGGCGAATACGTCGACTTGTAGACCAACTGTTCCACTTAAAAAAATCTACACCTACAAACCACAGAGCCATGCCGTCCCTCTGCTTCCCACCACCATGCATCACATTTAGTTTGCACTAACACAGAGGTCAGACAAAATCCAGTACACGACATCTCTAGTACAATGCATGCTCTCATGTTTTCACGAGTAATTTTTTGCAGATTTGTTAACATTGCATGTTATTTGTTGAGTAACTAGCACAGGTGAACGTAAAAAAAACAACAACAAAAAACAACCCCCTCCCCCAAAAACCCCCAACAAAAAACAAAAACAGGTCAAAAGTTGTTTCTCTGTTTAAAGAAAATATGGTTTGAAGAAAATATTGAGATAAACACACTGCCAAGTTTAGCTCGGTCAGAGGTTCCCAACTTTTTTGGTTGCATATTTCTACTTTTTAAAAACATTTTAGCTTGTCTGAACAGTTTATTTAATTCCTCAAGAAATAAAACAAAGAGTTAACATCAACACGCTAACACTCTCACAGTGGCTAAACAAAACGCTGACATTATTATTGTAGAGCAGGACAATTTAAAAAAATAAGTTATTGTATAACATTCTGTTTCATGATGATCGGGTGGTTTTGTTTAGTTTCAGCTAAATTATATTTAAATTCAGGGGGAAAAAAATTAATCTAAAGCTTTGCTAGTTACTACATGAAGATAGTGTGGCTACCTAGATGCTAACAAGAACTTAAAAGCTAATTAGCTTAACACAGAGGTGGCAGTTAACAATAAAATTTATATTTCCAAAAGAATCTTCTGATTGTGTGTTTTTTAAATAAAAATGTGTTAAACCCATTACACTGAATAATTAGAATTCTAATTTTGGCTTTAAAATGCTAATATCTACTAAACAAACTTTAAATTGGCAGTTTTATCATTAAAAATGTTTCTTCTTGTTTCATAAATCCCGTGTATCTTTTTCCTTTATAGCAGTAGCTAGCCCAAACTCCCACCCTACCAGTCTGTGATATATTTAGTTCTATTTACAATATTTTTTATATTTTAACTTGCTGAATTAAAAATTTAATGAATTAAAAGATAAAGTTTTGTTGTATTAATGGGAAGCTAACGACACCAGCAAAATATCTGCGATGATGCTTTTTTTCAGGCTTCTGTACTTGAACGTTTGCCATGTAATCACCTCTTTTGTCATTTTAAATACCAACATTTCCAGTCTATAAACTGACTGATACTCCTAAGCTCTTGGGCTAAAAGCAACATTGAAAGAAAGTTTAAAAAAAAAAAAAATCAAGTTGGAAACCACCAAACTGCAACCATGGTGAGACCAAACCGGGGTTCACGAGGGTACGTTAAGTGCTTTAAATATTGGTTACACACACTTAAAAATGGGGCCATTGTAGGTAGCGTCAGCATGCAGGTCAAGGAGAAAAGAAGCTGCCACAATAAAATAAGTTTGACATCAAATTAATTGCCAAGTGCATTTTTGGAGTTTTACTAAGATACGAGCAAAAAAAAGGGAAACCAGCTTGGACTGGACTTCCTGTCGTCCACTCCACCAACAATGCCAACAAACCACCACAACAGAAATGTAAAACCTCCAGGAGTGTGAGAGATTGTGGTTGGATTGAGCTGGAACGCAATGGCACAAAGAAAGCAGCAATTTGTAAAATTTACCTATAATAAAATAACGCCAAGGGTAGTGTTTCCGTTTGGTTCGCCTCTTACGGAAACACCAACAATAAAAACCAGGATAAAAAGACCACAGTATACATGATACCTCAGATACGTGCCTCCTGGCTTTTTTAAGGTATGAGAGGCACATTATGATAAGAGGGGAGTACAACTGTGCACAACACAGGTCAAAGGCACAACACTGGACAAAAACGAAGGGAATCAACACCCAAGGTGCTTCGAATGGGCCAAGAAAACCACAAGGGAGGAAACAAAAGTGCTTCTGAATGACATGTTTGGGCCTTTTTAGCAGTATTTTTAGCAAGTCTAAGGTACCATTTTTCCCCAATACAATAAATTATTTTTCCCCATGCTTGGTACAACATAATTGCATCAAATAAATTCTTTATACAAAGGATGGATTACCAAAGGGGTCAATGCCAGTAATAGGTGTCTGCGATAATGACAGAGCGCTCCTCATCTTTGATTAAAATGTGAACAACATGATTCTCAGTTTTCCTTCTGATATGTGCAAATATGGCTCAAACTTTGCATCAAGTTGCTCACATGAACGAGCTGCATTTACCCCAGATGGTGAAATGATTAGTCACTGACAGAATAAAATAAATATAATAATTAATTAACAAATGTGAGTCACTGATGGAGCAGAAATAGAATATCGCTTTTCAGTGTGAGAATTAGGTGCATTTCTTCATCACCTGTTAGTAAAATTGATTTTCTTGCTCATAAGCAAATGAATGAATACTGGCTGAACAGTTACTGATTATTTGAGTAAAAAGGATTGAAAATAGGCTCAAAAGGTGAGAGGTGGGCCATCTGAAGCCAAAATGTAAGAAGTGAGATGTGTGACCAAGAAGAAGAAAAAGGTATTTTGCTATTTTATTGGATTTTTCTTTTTAAAATAAATGTGACTAATTACCCAATTTTGATAAGGCCCATGAACCCATTTTGAACCATCTGGACTCCAGAAATGTTTTACAATTTTCATTATGTGATAAACTACAAATTAAGGAAGCACCGATCCAGTTCCAAACCAAACTATATTCAATTTACATAAATATGAAAAAGAAAAAGCAGAAAACTGAAAGATCAGTTGTCCTTTCTGCTTGATAAGTGACTTGATATCCAATTGTGGCAGATTAAAGGGGACCTACTGTGCTACAGTGGTGGGTTCTATCATCAAGCTGAGTTAAAGTTTCATGAAATGAGGTGAGCTTATGTACAAGTAATCCCAGGGAGCCAAAAGTTCAGTTTGTCTTTACGAGAGGCAGCCAATCAGACTAGAGTCCAGGATCCGGGAGCTAAAGGAGCTTGTTTCAGTTCAATGATGAGCTAAGCGGCTGAACCAAGGCCCAAATGTAGGACAAATAAGGATTAGTCTGAAATGTGACTCATGCAGAGCTCAAGAATAAAACTCTAGAGCTAAAATGGCCAAAACAGATCCCTGTTTATTTTCTGTCAACTGACAAATCACCGTTTTCGCTTTAGTACGAGCCACTTCACTTGCACATGTGCACAGATTAAGGCTTGACTTATACTTCTGCATTACAATTTTGCTAAGCTGTTGTTAGCATTCACAGCTAGTGTGGTTTCTTTCTATGCCACTAATAGTTTACTAAAAAAAAAAAAAAGCAGGCAACTGACACTGAATTATTCAGGCAGGTTACTTGCTCCTAGATTAGCCCTGTAACCCCCATAACCCCATTATATGCATTACGTTTGCAAAAGTAATATACTCCATTATTTACCACCAAGCAGCTGTTACAGTGTGGAAGTATAAATCAAGCTCACATCCTGGCCTGTGTACAGAAGATTTCTATGTTGTTGCAGTGTTTTTGAAAGTGTCAAAAACAGCACAATAACATATCAACATAATGTTAAGCACAAGAACAACACACTTTAGCCAAACTACTAAGGCTTCGCTCTCGAGCTCATGAAAACTGAACTCACTTCCCGGCTGGCAGCGTTGTTTACACAGCGTATAAAACTCAGGTATCTCAGGGCTTTAAGTGGTGAGCGGTACAGTTTAGCTTGCGCCACGGTTGCTACAAGTGCTGCAGAGTGTAAGACAACACAGTCATTTTGGTGTGGCAACAAGAGGCAGCTGCAAAGTGAGTGAATATTGGCAAAGAGAATAGCACGAGGCCCGAGAGGAGAGGGGTGCTTCAGGGTTTTGAGGCAGCATACAGTCTGGCCACAGTCCAACCTCCGCCACGCTTTACTTGGACAAATGACAATGACAGTAGTTTTCCTTATCCCTAATTACAATTTTAAGATATGCAATAGTTTAAAGTTGGATATTTAAGAGAAAACTTACCGGTGTTATCTTCTTTTTTCTTTGAGGAACACTACAGAAAACGTGCAGCTGAAAAACTGGTGATATTTCAGGATGAACAGAAAGCAGAGAGGCACTGCATACACAAATTCACACCCGTTTTAGCGGGTGGGAAAACTGATATTTTCTCCATTGTTTAAATAGACTCAACCACCAGAATATGTAAATATATCACAACTATGATACAGAAATCAATAATTACACCATTTGCATTCAATTTTTCATATAATTTCATCATGTAGCCTATATAGATTTATATAGATTCCTCACATGCCTTGACAAATTGTACACTAGTGTAGGTAAGTCCATTTTTTAGTCATGTATGTTCTTTTCTTACAGATCAAAAGGAGCCACTGGAGACTTCTTGGTTCGCGGAAAAGATGCCGCTCCAGGTTAGCTCATAATGAGTGATCGGTCCGTGCATCATCCGCCTGCGACTGCTCCGTCTCGGGCTCCACCTGCAGAGGAGTCGATGCTCTCTCGGTCAGTAAGTGGAGTGTTTTCATTCCTTTATGTCCTTTGAGAGTCCTGAGGAGGTTTCTGCTAAATCAACAGAGCCAGATGTGTAAGACAAGAGGAAATACCCCGTCTGATAACGATGATGGAGATCCAGAATCGAGGTGGAGATGGAGACGATGATTTCTGGTAGCTCTGTCCGTCCAACTGAGAACAACAAGAGGCTAATATCAGCGTCGTAGCCTGCGCTCCTGTCACACTGTCCAACAAAAAGCTGCAACGAGGAAAAGCCCTGAACCCGTCGTCTCTCTTCCAAAGTGAAGAAGGAGAGACGAGACGACAAGCCAGGGTCACGTTGTAGCACTGAAGGATTGTGGGGGATGCCAACAGCGCCCGCTGTGGAAAGGCACACCAGAGGAGAAGGGAAGGGGCAGATGATCATGATGATGATAGTAAAAGGTGGAAGGGGGTTTATGAAAAGTGAAGAAAATGTTCGACAACAACGTGGTTGTTGCTGATAAACTGTTGTTAAGCTCAGGATCTCTTCACATCCGCGAGCCTCGCTCCTGAAGGATCTGCGAAAGGCAGACAGGAAAAAGACCACTTTCAAACATTTAAACAAGACGTTTAAGAAAAAGCAAGGAAAAAACAACACTTTGAATTTTGAGGGTTTTTTGCAATAAAAAGGCAGTGTTAGCAAACCCTTTTTCCAGATGAAGTCACAGGATAAAGGTAATTTAGTACACTGATTAAACTGATATAAAAAGCAGTGGTGTTCAGGTTCCTGCACAGACAGCATTCTCAAATCTTTGCTTTTTCCCTTCAGAAACTATGTGTCACATTTGCTGAGACATTTAGGAGAACAAAGAGAGGGTCAGACAGACTGAAATGTTGTAATCCAGGAAATATTTCAGCAGTCAGTGTGCTGTACGCCACTTTTTACAACTTTCCACTCTCTATGCCATCGCTTTATCCAGTACACTATAGTATTTTTACTGTTATATGTAACCTATTTTTAAAATAATTTAATCCTCTGTTGAGCCAGTTGTAACAAAATTTCATTCCTTGCATACTTTTTCATAATGAATGCAGATGCAGAATCACTGCTTGGGGTTTTTGTCCAGCTAAAATCTGTCCAAAACAAACAATTAGTCAAAGCAATCTGAGTTTCCTTTTAGCATTAGCTTCCCTTTTTCAGCCAGAGCATAGGAAATTATTTAAATTGTTATTCGCTGAGGGAAAAGCCTGGACACCATAATTATGGATGTGAAACTGAGGATGCAGCACGCCAGTATCCTGATACAGATTTGTAAATCTGAATCATACCCTGCTTTATCACCTATTTTTGTCTAAAACAGGAACTAATTTTCAAAAAAAGCAGCATGTTGGATTTAATAAAATATGAAACTAATGATTAACAGCATTAGATTACTTGGAAAGTTAGTGGATCAAGTGAGAAGTAGAAATTTTTCCCGAAAGACTTGTATACAACGTAGACTACAGGAGTGGCCCCCTGCTGGTCATTTGCAAGAGTGCATGTTATTAAAAAAAAGTTTATAATGAATACTTGGTCAATAATGCTTTATAGTTGAGAAAACATGCTTTCATTGATAAATAACATCTGGTAAACCAACTCAGTTCCATAAAAAAGACACAAGAGGAATGAATGAAATCCGAGTCTTTGCACTGATTTCATGGATATGATCGCATACATGAAAATAATCTTGCAGATCTTGTTAACTCACTGTTAAGCAGGTAAGAACTATGAAGATAAGCGATACCAAATGATTTGAACACAACAGCAGCGGGTCAGTAAAGTTCAGAAGGTTCTTGACTTTTGTGGCATCCTGGCTGCCAGCACACAGACTATTTCTAGCTGAGCTCATCCATACGGTTATATTTAGCTCCTGTATTTGTTGTAGCGTAAGCTTCCACATTAAGTATTTAATACAGCACAATAAACTGAGCTACGGTAAAAGTATAACATGAACTTTCCACCAAGTGAAGGTCTCAAACTTCAGAAAATGCTTTTTTCATACAGATGCATTTTGACTTTCAGAGAGGCTGCTTGTGAAAAACACCCAAATGAGCAGAAGCCACATGAGATGGTAAGGTCCACTCTACCCAGTCTTATCCAGCATGGACTGGTTTATGGTCCAACAGTCAAATATTTTCATTAGGAAGGTTCCTCACTGAGTCAAGTAAAATGAAAGTATAATTAAATTCTACAAACACCAAGGAAGGTGCTTCAGTGCTACCTTTATTACCCATGTTGTATCTACTGTAGTTCGGGTTAAGCACTTGAATTGAGAGGGGGAGGATTACACAATCCAGTTGACCAAACTGAAAAATATGAGATTTTACACACTGAACCTAAAATAAAGGCAGAAGTTATACTGGCGCATCTCTTCAGCAGGAAGTGAAAATAAACTATTCAAGTTTTATGTCATGAAACATGTCGAGAATGGATGTTTTAAATTAAGTTCCCAGCAGTTTGTCTCTGGGTTTTAGTCAAGGATGGTTTCAGGCCTGAAGAGAAAACTGTGGATGTAAAGCGCTACAGACCAAGGTGGAGCAGTGTGGACGTTGTATGTAAACAAGATAATAATTATAAAAATATGTTTCTTATTATTTTGCTGTAGCCAGCTTTTAAAAAAATAATTTCTGTTATTTCTTAGTTCTGTTACCACAGGATGGGCTAAGAATCTTGCCCTGGTATTGAAAATAGCATCGATTATGGATCATTTTCCAGGGTATCGGAATTAAATTTGAAATTCAAGTATGGACCCTAAACCATCAGGTCACCGTGCTGAGACTGACTGATGTTGACCGAGCCCAGGTTGTTGGCATGCTGGATGCTGGCAGCATGCTGGAGAGAAAAGAATCAACAGCACATCCAGACACCTGTGTAGGCTGTATCTCGCATTAAGTGTCTTGCATACAGCTTTACTGCACTGCCGGTCGTTAACATCCATTTAAAAACACAAACTTATTGTGGGATGCATTTAATTCCACTTAATAAGCTGTTTCACTCCCTGTTCTTTAAGATTACAAACTAGATAATGAAGTAATAATTTTCCACCAGTGATCCTCTTTTATATGAAACATTTCATGGGGTGACGTATCCACGATGCGCTCATTTTTTGCCCATCTTTGGGGCACTGTGGTTTTAACACAGCAGACTCACATCAACAACATCTGGCCACATTATTAAGGAGTCTAGCGTCAGAGTAGTTAGCTTCTCTCTGAGCTCATTAAAACCTCTTCAGATCTTTTAGTGACCTTGTGACATTTTCTATCGAGTCAAGGGAAACTTATGGGCAAAAGGAAGTAGGATTTAGTGTTTTGGACGATTCAAGTGCAGCTTTGGTTCCTACACATGGATCCTGTAGCTTCTGTGGCTTATAAACTGGGTTTTAATACACAAACACGGTCCTTCGCTGCAGTTTGCAGGAGATGTTCAGACAGCCTGAACAACGGTATGAAATGTCGACTTACCTTGGCCTTCTCGGTGGGCTCAATGACGATGCCATTAGTGGAGTTGTTGAGTTCCCGGGAAACTACACACAGAAATTCAGCCTGGTCCTCATTGCCATAGTTATATGAGGAGCCGATGCTTATAAGCTGAGGGCGGAGATGGGCAAAGAAACAAAAGATCCGGAGTTAAAAGAGAGCCTACTTTTCCAAGACGTTTCACACTCTGCACCTTTTCAGTCAATAACTTGTGTTTTTTCCATTTAATTTAGTTCTACCATGCTATTTACTTTTGGTTGTTGTCGTTTTAGAGAAACTGTTGAAAATGTCTGAAAAACAACAACAACAACATTTAAAAAAAAAACCAACCCCTAATCAAACAAAGAAATATTCATTATATAAAAAAAACAAAAACAAAAAAACAACTGAATGATTTTAAGTTTTCCTATTTTGAATACTCAGCCTGAAAAAAGGGATTAGATACAATTAATAAATGACATTTTATTTGCCAATATAGACTTACGGCAATATTTCAGCACATATATCACTGCATTTCTGTAGTCTGTTCATGACCTCTTTCTTTGCCCTACAGCAAGGATGGCCACCCTGCAACTCAGCTTCTGTGACTCACTCTCGCTTTGACAAAAGACTTGATGGATATCATTTTGGAATTTTAACTTTTTCTTTATTTAACTTACCCTGGCTATGGTTTCCAAAGATGTTAAAATCACTGGGGAAACTCAAAAACAAAATAAATCAGCAGTCTGTGGACAAGCAGGTGTGCCTTTACAGCCAAAGCCGCTGGCTTATGCTTTGTTTATGGTGACCACATTGGCTTTGTTGAGCACCAACTGTAACATGCCGGTGCTTGAGGGTGGTTGAAGATTAAACATTTGCCCCTAGCAACTGGAGGATGCCAAGGGTTTGCCAATCGGTCTCTAGACGAGTGTGACTGAGGCCTTCAGGTTATTTTTCACAAACATGGATAGAGCTCAAAGTTTCCTGCAGAGCTTCATAGCAACTGCTTCACAGTAGGCCTAAAAGTGCTACTAGTTCTGTCATGTTTGTTGGTAATTTAAAAAAGGCAAATGAGTTGTGTTATTTTAGCTCTTTAAATTTAATAAATGCAACAAATGTGGTATTTTCTATTAAAGTTAAAAGTACCAAATAGTCATAATCAGACCTTTGCGGAGTAGTCACATGTGGCAATGACTAGAATTATTTACAGCTATTACTAATGTCAGGGGTTTAATTCATACTTACCTTCATTATAAGGCTCAAAGATCTTTTTTTGGGGGATTTTTTTGTCTTTTGAAGATCAAAAAATTGATACAGGTTCATATTGATAATACATGATTACTAATATAGAGGAAACTACAAGGTGACAGAGTCTGAATGCATACAGATTCAGGTCAAGACCAAATGAAGTACTTTTAGTATCCATTCTATTCTATCCATTCTCATGATTAAAACATTTTGTGCCCCAGTCTTTCCTGTGTGGAAATAAATACCTGACAATGTGCTGGCATACATCTCAGGGCAAGCGGAGCTTAAAACTGCAGCGTCGAATCAACTAAAGCGTGAACTAAAAGATGACATATATTTTAAAAGCTGCGTTTTCTGCACCTGCTCAAACTTCCAACCGTCCGACATAGTTGAGACCATCTGCGTGAGTTCCTCCTCTTGGCACTGTAGTACTCGATACACATGCTTCACAGGGCCCTGAGGGACACAGCAAAGGCACGCAGAGCATTACTGAAAAAGCACCAACAATCTGCAGGCAGGCACACATTTTGTTTGAACACTTTACAAGCTAGCTGGGTTATATTTGCACTGGAAGAAAGTCAGCCACTAAGACTTATTTTGGTTTAGTTTTGTTTACCTGAGATGTCCGGTTCTCGTTGTCCCGTATCCTCTCTTTCACCAGCCTCACCAGGGAAGCAATGTTGTAGAACTCGGCTTCCTCCAGAACGCCTGAAACACAAATCGAATGAATGTGTTATTTGGTGTCTGAGATGCTGCTCACTGACAGCTCTGCATTATGCTTTTGCTTTTTACCTTCTTCTGCCAGATTCTTATCCATAATCAGTTTTCCATGCCGAAGGTAATTCAGGATAGGGCCAAAGTACGTGGGGTCTCTGTCGATTAGATATGCTCCTGTCTCGTCCTGCAAGAATGAACAGGTTCCAAGGAGCAAGTTCCATGTTAACAGAGGAGCAAGTTCCATGTTTTGTATTGTTTATTTCTATTAAATTTCCATATTTTTTGTCTTTAACGTTGAAGTTCGTTAATGTAAAATTTGCCATTTTTCGTGTAAT